ACAGACACTGGGGATTTTCTTCTTCCAGTTTTTGGACATCACAAATAAAAGCTGCTATGAATATTAGTGTACAAGTATTTGTGTGTAGAGGTATGTTCTTCTTCCTCTAGGGAAAACCCCGTAGGAAGAATGGCTGGGTCAGATGGTAGATACTGCTATGCTCTAGATATGGTTTTTCCCAGAGGGTTCATGTGTGACAGGATGATCCTCAGTTTGGTGATGCAGAGCCTCTAACAGATGGGGCCCAGAGGAAGGTTTTCATGTCATTGTGAGTGCTACTGTTAGAAGGGTAATTAAGGTAGCTCTCACGGATCCCCTATGCTCTCCTGAGAATGAGCTATTATAAGAGAGAGGCTGACCCTTGAATTGCTCTCTGGCTTTTTATTTTGAGATGTGATCTTTCTTCCACATACTCTCCTGCCATTGTGACATCATCTGCCTTGAGGTTCTCGCCAGACAAGCCAATGTTGCTGCCTTGCCCTTGAGTCTCCTGAAACTATAAAATAAACATCTTTTTAAAAATAAAGGTGCCCAGCCTCAGGGATTTTTGTTATAGCAATAAAAATAGACTAATAAAGATATTTAAAATTTTAAACTTTAAGCTGTTTTACAAAATGGTTTTGTCTAGATTATGAATCACCATAAAGAAGAAGGTCATGTAGGTCATTTGTTTCACATCTTTTACATTCCTGCTGATAATGGGAGATTATTCATTCATCAAATATTACGGAGTAACTGTGGAATGCAAGGAACTGAGTCAGGCATGGAGGATACAGTCATGAACAAGACAACCATGGATCCTGTCCAATGGCACTTTCGCTCCAGAAGAAAAAGCAGACACTAAATAACATAGTTCACAATTAATGCTTTCCTTAGAAGGAGGTATAGAGTGCTAGGAATCTAATGTAGAGTGGGGACTCTGAAAGCATCTCTGGGATCAGAACCTCTAAACTGAGGGTGGAATAATGAGCAGAACTTAACACACACAATCCTAAGAGACTGCATCTATTTGGTAAGTGGCATAAAGGAGTGGTGTGGGTTCTAATGTAACTCCCCTAGGATGCAAATTGTTATTAAGTGATTGATTGATGGATTGATCTACTTACTCAGGGGAGCCTGCTCCCAATTCCTAGATGAAAATTAATCCCAAACTTTGGCAATAAAAAAGAGGACTTAGGAGTCTGTCATCTTATGAGAAGAACCCTCTTCTAAATAATGAAAATAGCAGTCTCTCTCATGAATCACAGCAGATTCATGAACAGAGTAACGAAAGTCAGAGCGTCAGGAAGGGAACGGTGGTGGCAGGCAGAAGGCAGCTGTCTGGCATGCCACCTTCTGTTCCCCAGGTACTTGTGGAGTGTTTTCCACATGGTAAGTAGGCCCTATGTCACCTTAACCGATGCACAGGATAACCTTGCAAGTAGCTGCTGTCACTGCCGTTTTATGTAAGAATAAACTAAAACACAGAGATTAAATAACTTGTCCATGGTCATAAACTTGGTCAAGGGGTATCCTAAGGTAGCCATAACATTACTTACTACACAGAAGTACTAGGATAATGACCCTAGAAAGCATCAATGGCAGGGGTGTCTGAAATCTGTTTGCCTTAACTTCAGAATCATTTAGTGATAGACAGCAACCTGCTGGGGACTCTAAGTGCTACCTTGGAGAACCAGTGGTCTCTGGCAGATGTTGTTCAGGGTAAACATTTGAAGACAGATAGCACAAACTCCAGTCAAACTTCAATTCAGATTGGTTTAAACTTTGATTTAAATTATAACTCTTCCACTTACTGGCTATAAAATTTCAGGCAAAATATCTAATATTTTTTATTTTCTTTTGTTTTGTTTTGGTACTAGGGATTGAACCCAGGGGACTTTAGCACTAAGTTATATCCCCTGTCCTTTTTATTTCTTGAGATAGCATTTCACTACGTTGCTTGGGGCCTAAGTTGCTGTGGCTGGCCTTAAAACTTGTGATCCTCCTGTCTTAGCCTCCCGAGTTACTGGGATCACGGTGTACACCATTGTGCCCTTGTTTAGTCCGATCACAGAATGAGAAAAACACACCTTCTTTGTATTTTTCATTTGCAGAAAGAATGAAGGCAGTGTGGGTAAGTTAAGGACACTAAGTGATAGGAATACAGGAAGTCATGTATGCAGAAGGTAGCTATGAGAGTGCTCCTTCCCCAGCATCTGAAGAAGGCCCATGGAGGAGATGAGGCAGCTTCCTGATCTCACTCCTCTAGGATATGCTAACTCCTCAGAGGTGATGTGGAATCCACCCAGGCATCAGAGGACAGTGGTGAGACTCCTCTCATCCAACCGTTTCCTGCACGAACAAGCTCACGGTTGAAAAAGGTCCCAGGTGTCAATATTCCTGAGATCTCAAGGTTTCAACTCAAGGTTGAAAGAAACCTCAGGAATGCATTTCACCCATCTTTCTTTATTAGACTTCTTTAGACCAACTGGAAATACCAAATAGGCGGCACTCTGTCCATCTTGGCTACATCTTTTTGAACGTTCCTTTTCCACCTCACTTTTGCCACGAAAATAAACACAGGTACTGTCTGAAGCCATTACATGCAACAAAGAGAGAGAACACTGGCAGAAAAAATTAGTCTTTTTTCCCATGAGTTGACTAGAGAAAATAAGTAGGCAAGTAAATGGAAGAAAAAGTAGGCCCAAATCTCCATCATGTCAGATTAGGCCCCAACTTACTTTATAAGATTCCTGTAGTGCAAGAATTAAAACCAAGAATCAATAAATGGGATGGATTCAAACTACAAAGCTTCTTCTCAGCAAAAGAAACAATCAGTGAGGTGAATAGAGAGCCCACAGAATGGGAGCAAATCTTTACCACAAGCACATCAGATAGAGCACTAATCTCTAGGGTATATAAAGCATTCAAAAACCTTAACACCAAAAGAACAAATAACTCAATCAATAAATGGGCTAAGGAACTGAATAGACACTTCTCGGAAGATGGTATACAATCAATCAGCAAACATGTGAAAAAATGTTCATCATCTCTAGCAATAAGAGAAATGCAAATCAAAACCACTCTAAGATTTCAACTCACTCCAGTCAGAATGGCAGCTATCAAGAGTACAAACAACAATAAGTGTTGGTGATGATGTGGGAAAAAAGACACACTCATACATTGCTGGTGGGACTGCAAATTGGTGCAGCCAATCTGGAAAGCAGTATGGAGATTCCTTAGAAAACTTGGAATGGGACCACCATTTGACCCAGCTATCCCACTCCTTGCTTCATACCCATAGGATTTAAAAACAGCATACTTCAGGGATACAGCTACATCAATGTTTATAGCAGCACAATTCACAGTAGCTAAATTGTGGAACCAATCCAAATGCCCTTCAGTAATGAATATATAGGGAAACTTTGGTATATATACACAATGGAATATTACTCAGCATTAAAGAGAATAAAATCATGGCATTTGAAGGTAAATGGATGAAGTTGGAGAATATAATGCTAAATGAAGCAAGCCAATCCCAAAAAACCAAAGGCCAAATGTTTTCTTTGATATGAGGATGCTGACTCATAATGGCGATTGGGGGGGAGCATGGGAGGGATGGAGGAACTTTAGATAGAGCAAAGGGGAGGGAGGAAAAAGGAGGGGGGAAGGGGGTAGGAATGATGGTGGAATGAGTTAGATATCATTACCCTAAATACATGTATAAGACACGAATGGTGTGAAATTACTTTGTGTACAATGAGTGTCTTGAAAAATTGTGCTCTATATGTATAAAATGAAATGAATTGCATTCTGCCATCATGTATAACAAATCAGAATAAATTAAAAAAATGGAAACCACAGTACACCAATACTCTAGATGTAATGATGTACAGGTCATCTCCTATGAATGAAAATGAATCCAAAAAGATGTTTTAATGGCTATTCTACTCTTCACGCCTTTCCCTAGTCAATTCTGCAGTGCTCACAGTACTACACAACTATCTATTTTTTTTTTACACTCAAATGGTGCTATATTTAAAAAAAAAATCTGGGAAAACTTAAGTTTTTAATTTTTGATTTTGGTGGTGGTGGGATTCCTTATTCTTGCTCATAAAACCCACCTTTGATTTAAAGATTTTAAAATAAATTTCTATATTAAACATATGTAGTAAATATGGCTTTGTGTAACACAATTTCATGAATCCTTGAGAACTCCAAATTCAACAAATCCTGAGTAAACTAAAGAAGATGGCTCCTCTCTCCCAAAGACAGGGTGATCCTGGAGGACAGATCTCAGCACTTTCCCCTGTGCCAGCTGGACCTCATTGATTTTACTCTCCACTGTGCTGGCGCTGACACTGCGGTGGCCCCTGCCGGGCAGGCCTCTGTCGCCGTCAGGCTGCACACATCCTCCCTGACAGGTCTCGTCAACTGGATTGCTTCTCGCCAGGCCTGGGCTCTGGCACTTTCCCCTGGGGAGACCTTTGCTGGTCTCCATACTTAACCCCTGAACCCAGCGTAATCCATCAGCCGCAGGAGTACGCAGGGATGGGGAGTGTTTCTCCCTGAAGACAGGCGGCCGGCCCCTCTACTGAGAGCTCAGAGCGCCAGCCACCAGCAGGGTCTGTTTTCTGTTTGTCAGCGTCATGGCGTCTCAGCTAACTGAGTTCGTTTTACTGTTGCGGTGCCCAGCTGCCCAGTCAAGGGAAATGCTGTTGGAGGAGACATCAATTAGGTGCTTGTTAAATGCTATGGACGCTCTTTGAAAATGTCCCCTGGGACTCTCCCTGGGAGTTCCCAATCAGAGGAGGGCCCAGTTGTCATTTTGGAATTGAGTTTTCCCTGAGGTTTTAAAGATCAGTTTCCTAATCCACATTCTCATGGCTGGTGTTTAAACTTCATTGGGAGATTTTAGAAATCATGACCCTGGAGAATGAAATATAATGCTTTTTTCTGGAAAGACAAGAAAACAGCTGTAAATAGAAAGCCTGTTCCCATCTTGTTTAAAAGCTGCTCACCTCATAACCAAACTGCAGCTCGTCAGAGGTCAGCATGATGATGTCGTCGTCGATGGCCAGCACAGCCTCGGTCTCGATCTCATCGTAAGGGAAGAAGCGGTTACTCAGCTTGTTCTCGGCGGTCCTCACGACTTTTAATGGAACCCGGATTTTTGGCCAGAGAGAATCTAGAAGAAAAATAAAACAAGGTCTTGACTACTGTCTAGCCTTTAATGAGGAGATAAGGCGGCAAGGGCGTCAGCACTTGGAAGAAACTGCTGACATCTCTAGCCCCCCGCCATGACTCGGGAGGGGGTGTCTCACACGTGTGTCCTTGTCATAGTGGGAAACAGACACACACGCACGTATTTCTACCCTCTCCGCATCCTTACAACACTACTAATTATAACACTGTCTTAACAAAGACAAGTTCATTGGCTCCGGCTCACAACTGAGAGGCAGAGAAGTGAAACGACTCGACCGAGGTCATGAAGACAGGAGGAGAGGGGCTCAGGACCTCGCTTTAGTATCAGAACTCCACCACCTCTGGCAAAGATTCTGCAACACACCTCCTTGTCCCCATGCCCCGCTCAGAACCTGCCTGAAGCTATGCCAGGAAGCCCAGTGCCTTCAGCTAGCACACTGGGCTCCCAGAGCCCTCCAGGCTGGTCCCAGACCAGCTGGTCCCAGACCAGCCAGACCCTCCGGCCCAAGAGCACATAGCACTGGACCAAGGCCTAGCACTTCATTCCTTCCTCCCCGACTCACTAGGTTTGGTTTCTCATCACAACCAATTCACAGGGTAAATATCCAATTTCCAGGTCCAGCTATATGGGATTTTCTTGTATAATTAAGAAATACCAACCCATGTCTTGCCTCTCATTTTTTTCCCATTCTACTCTGAAATGACTGGAGCAATTCAATCATAGGTTTTTGCTTTTGAATGTGGCATTTAGCAGAACATGAAGTTAATCTTTCTCTGTTACAGTAGCAATGTCCACAGACCTTGGGTTCTTGGGGAGGCAGTTCATTGTTCACATAACATCTGTCAAGAACAAGAAGGCCTGGTGGCGCACTACTTTCAAAAAACGCATTATGCAATCAAGGGGAATATCTAATTTTTGTGGGTCATGAGGCCCCAAGATGCCTGTGTCCACTCCCAAGTCTCCACATTGAAGGAGACAGGGAAGGCCAGGGGAAGAGGCAGCCCAGCTGGCTGCAGGCAGAACCCTGACCTGTGAGCCCCATAGCACCACTGTCCAGGGCACTGCTGCGGCCCTGCTACGGTCCTGAGGGGGCTGTGAAGGGGCAGGCCCTGGGGTCAAGGAAGATCAGCTGAATTTCAAAAAAGCCTACAGCAAAGAACCTAAAAAAGTGGTCAATTCCAAAAAAGTGTGTTTGGGAAAGGGCTGAACCTGAGACCAAAGAAACAGGGCAATGGATTACTGCCACTTACTGTGACAGCAGCCACCTCTAGCTTCATTCCTGGCACATCATCAGTAAGTATCTCTGGGATAAATGAGAGACCCAGACTTGCGTTCTGCATCAATTATGCATCTCAAGCAAGTCCCTTCTTCTCATATAATTAAATAAGCAGAGATGGGGATCTTGATTACTTAAGTGATATGTGCCAGATCCTTTACTGTCATTCAACCCTCCTGACAATCCTAAGAGGCAGAAATTATTTATAATGTAGTATTTACATGACTCAGAGAGGTTAAGGAACTTGTCTGGCAATACACAGCTAATGAACAATGAGGCCAGCGCAGCTCCCTGCTTCCCCCGATCTGGAGCAGAACCCGGAAGGTCCAACCACCCTCACCAGCAGGCATCCTCCTTCCCTGCATCTCACTTCTTACCTCAGATAAATAAAATCCCCGACACACAGCTACTAGTCCCAATCCTTTAAACCACGAGTTACACTCTCCAGCTGAAGGTAACAGCCCTACATTCTAGACCGATGGTTCTCAAAAGTTTTGATTTCAGAATTCCTTCATGCCCTTCAAAGTGACCGAGAAGCTCAAAGCACTTCACACGCAGGAGGAAGGGGCTTTTCTGCTGTACCTTTTCCACGTCTGAGCTGCCTTGGGTTGCTGAAATCATTTCAGTCCATCTGAAGACAGTCTGGGTGGGTTCTGGGCATCTCTGGGTGGGTTCCACTGCAGCCCTTGCCAGTTTCCAGCAAGCCCTGTCCCACCCCAGGCCGCTGCCGTGGGGTTCCGTGGGAGTCTGAGCAGAGCTGGTTTCCTGCTTTCAGTCTTGGTCTGGGCACTGAGCAAGCTTCCCCAGGCACTGGGCCCCGCACTGCTCTTCCCAACACAGTGGAACCTCAGGCCCAGTGGGGGACTGGGCTCCCAGGGTCACGTCCTATAATCTTTTTTTTTTTTAAATTTTTTTATTTGTTCTAATTAGTTATACATGGCAGTAGACTGCGTTTTTACATACTGTCCACAAATGCAGCATAACTCCTCATTCCTCTGGCTGCCCCTGGTGTAGTCCCTCCAGTAGTGTAACCATATGTGTATGTAGCTTCCTATGATCTTTAAAGTTCTCTTTATCAGGTTAGTAGACAAATCCTGTTGTATGTTTATCACTATTCATATTAAAATTTTCCTATTCAAATCACCGTGTGGTTTCTGTCTTCTAATGGAACCTTGACTGTAGTGCAGATGAAAGGGAATTTTCCCCCATGGTCTCCACAGTTATGAACCCTAACTTTCACTAGGTGAGTTACGGGGCAAGAGTTTCCTGATGGTACAAACTGTCTTCAGATGGACTGAAATGACTTCAGTAACATAAGGCATCCTTTTGCCTGAAATGCGTGAACTTTGGTCAGATTTCTAGTTGACATCAGGTGAAGGACTAAAGAAAATAGCTCTGTGGGCCCAGGACTCCAGAGAACAGCAGCAAACGCAGCAAGAACACAGTCGTGCAACAGCCTAGGCCTCCCGCTAGCCAGCTGGACAACCCAGACAGGTCCACCACGTTGAGCTTGCTTCTTCAACTGTGGGGCAGGACTGGCGACCCCCTTTGTACGACCAACTGAGCGGGACCACAGGTGCTCAGCTGCATAGCTCCTGGCGCAAGGCAGACACCCACCCGAGGTCAGCTATGTTTCCCTTGAAAGTCTGTGTCTGCTGCCAGAACCAGAGGGTTTCTCGAGCCTCGTGTAGTGGTGGCCAAGCTCATGCTACCCATGTCCATGTTTAGATAAGCAGAACCCCTGCCCCAGAACTCAGAGCGTCTCATGTGCTCACAAAACTAAGTGACACGGAACCTCTGCCATGTCACTTCCCCAGGGTAACCAACAGCTCCTTTCCCCCATGGGTAGAGAACAGGTCTGCTGCTCTGGGGGAGCAGAAACAAGCCCCCATGCTGGACGGTGGGCTCTCGCCCAGGGCGTGGATGGCATGTTGGCCAGATAGGCACTTCCACGCTCTCCAGCTACATGTATCCAAAGAATTACTTGAGACAACGTCCCCAGGGAGCTGACTTGCTCCTGTGAAGTCTTTGATGGGAAGTTTTAGAGAGTGATGAAAGCCAGGGGGATGATATGGGGCACAGATGGAAATGCAGAATGAATCACGGCTGTGTTAGAAACGTGACGACTCCTCCCTCGTAGGCTAGGTCTGCGGAGCGGACAGCTTCCACAGAAGGAGCCTCCATTTCAGTGGCCAAGTGTCCAAGGACCACCATCTAACAGATTCTAAAGGGAACTCCCAGCTTCCTGGACTCTTCCCTTTTTCAAATGAGCTCGACTTCCATGACAGGGAACTACAAGTCTCCCAGGCTTCAGTGTCCCCCTATGGAGGTCAGGGACAAGTGGGCAGCCATGCCTTTAATACTATGACCCTGACAGGAAATTTTAATTCTGGAAAGTTTACCTTTTTTTTTTTTTTAATTAGGACTGGGACTACAGAGGGTGAAGAGAATTGCAAGGCAGATTTGTGAAAAGGGAAGAGACTTCTCTCCCCATTAGTACTGAATAGATTGATCCTCTGTCTCTCTGTGAGCTCTAACAAGAAGCTAGTTCCTCTATATGATCCCAAATCAGAGAGGAGACAGACGAGAGCCAGGGTTTTCCTGCACTGAAATGGTCATCTAAAAGGATGCAGTGGGCTCAGCACAAAGGGCAGGAGCTTCCGACTGAGAGAGACCCGTGCTAACTTCTGTCTCTGCCCCTTGCTGCTTTTGATTCAGGCAGATCACTGACTGAGTTTCACTTTCTTATTTATATAAAATGGGGATAATGACAGCTTCCTCACAGGCTTGTCATAAGGACTGGAAGTAACAAAGTCCTCTCCACTCCTCATCCCAGCGTGGCCTCCTTCCTGGGTACAGCAGTGTGCGCTGACCAGCCACAACACTGCTCCATCACCATCTGCAGAGGGGGAGGCTGGGAAGCCCTAGGAACTCCACTTCTCTGCTGATACCTTAAAGAGGTCCAGACAGGACACAGAAGGAAACAGTGTCAAGGCTGGAAATCCCCAGGCTCTGCTCTGTTGCAGAGCCTAGATGAGGGGCCTAACTCCTTCAAACTCTAAATGCAACAGCATGCCCCTGCATCTCATATCTCATCCTGTGGAACTACAGGAGGCAAAACTTTACAAGTGTCACCTTTTATTCACATAAAGTAACTTAAAAAATGGTTCTTCAAAGGCACTGCTGAATTTCTGAAAGATAAACAGCTGAGACAGGTGACCTGTTAGTTTCACAGTATGAGCTTTGGCCCAGCTCATGGGAGAAAAAGAACTCCTTGTGTCAAGGACCCTTTTTTTTTTTTTTTTTACCAGGGATTGAACCTAGGGGTGCTTTAACCACTGAGCTATACCCCCAGCTCTTTTTATATTTTTATTTAGAGACAGGGTCTCCGTAAGTTGCTGAAGTGGCCTTGAACTTGCAATCCTCCTGCCCCAGCCTCCCCTGAAGCTGGGGTTACAGGTGTGTGCCATCACACCTGGCAGACACAGGTCTTTTTAAAAGTATATTAATTAACAATTTTCTCCATGTTGGATGCTGAGAGAGATGTGAGAGAGGAATTCTCTGTAACTTGAAAAAAGTACTGCAGTACATTCAGGTTGGCTGAAGATGACCCCAAGCCTATCCTGCCAATCCCTGTCATATACCCAAAGTAAAATATTAGATCATCTCCATACAAAAACCCTTTAGCCTGCTTCAGAAGTCCCCAAGCTGCTCAGTGTAAAGTTGGTGCCCAGGACCCTGAATGCAGCTCAACGGAAGGTAGCTGCTGCTTTGGCTCCGGCTGCCCTGTTGGGTTGAGCATCCTGACAGCGCCCACGCTGCCCACTCAGGACTGTGAGGCTCACATCTGAAGCTGGGGGTCCCTTAATGTCAATTCAAACCTATACCTGGATTAATGCAGACTACAGGCTGAGTTCCCCTTTCTGAAGTGCACAGGGCTACCGCTTCCTCCGGACAAAGGCTGGGCCCAGGCAGACGAACTCGACCTTCACCAGGCAACTGAGGAGCCGGCAGGGCAAAGCAGGGGCTCAAAACTGCTGCGATGAAAGCTCACAGAGTTCTGTGCCTGCTCCTCAGTGTCCACTTAGACCTCAAACCTGGCCATTTAGCGTCGACTGTGACCAGAAGAGAAAGGCACTTGGTTGGATCCAGGAAAAAAAGTGGGAGGGCGCAGACTGCCGCCTGCACCAGCCCTCCCAGCAGCAGACGCGTGAACCACAATATTTATTTTAGTAAATGTAGAGAAAGTGAAAAACAACACTTTCACCTCTAAAATTTCAAAGCCTTTTTTTTTTTTATATATATACATGTCACTAATGCTACACTTGGAACATCAGATACGTTTGCTGGCAGGAGGACCAGAGCTGACGGCCCCTTGACCAACTGAACACGCCCACAGAAGATCAGCGTGGTTCGTGTTCCCCCAACAGCTGCACTGCGAGAGCCAGAGCCCCGACCCGAAAACCACCGTCAGAAAAAAGCCAGTCCATCAACATGTGTCAAAATGAGGGCCTCATCAGTTAAGGGTTCTCTTTCCTCCCTAGAGCCAAAATATTTTTAAAATAAACTAAACTCTGGGTCATAAAATTAACCACTACGCTTTAGTAGGGTCTACCAAAAATTAAAACTGAATACCCAGCTCCAAAGCTGGCCCACACTCTGCCTTTAGCCATGCCAGCGCACAAGCCTGGGCTGAGACATAAGAAAAAGATTCTTCCTTTCCCACACCTGCCCCAAAGAGTGACTCCAACTCACAATGCTGAGTTCACTTTATGCCCAAAGTGGCTGATAAGCAGGGGTATAAGAGGGCTCCTTGGCATTTTTTAAGTTTTGTTTTATTTCTGATTGGCGAGTGATAACTGCACGTGTTACAGAGCACGCGGCGGTGTTTGAGAACACACAGGTGTTCTGGAGTGGGCCGTCACCAGTGTGTCCCTGGCCTCTGCTCCAGATCCTGCCGCTCCACCTTCCCTGCAGGAGGGCTGTGGGCTAAGCTGGAGGTGCAAATGCATGAGAATGAACACAGTGACAGGGACATTCCCTCCACAGTGCACAGGACCCATCAAGGGCCCGACAAGCAAAGCAGAGGTCCGACCCACCTCCCTGGGAAAGGCCGCCTGTGCAGGGCCCTGCCCGCCACACAGATCCTCTGAGGCTCCTCGATTTCTGCCCCGCTGGCTCTTCCTCCCTCCTTAGGTGACGCCAGCGCCTTCCTTTCCACCTATCCCTTTCCTTCTCCTTTATTGGAAGCCAAACACAGCAGAACCCAGAAAACTGACCGTGCTGCAGTGAGGCGGCAAAGAAAAAACCCCGGACCAGAAAGCTGGTCAGCAATAATAGTAATGATAAAAGCAGCTATGCTTCAGGTACATTATAGGACTCTCGTCAGAATAGGCATTTGATTCACTCATTCTGGCACTCTGTGAACCTAAAGAGAGCAGATGATTCTTTCAGAAAACAAAAATCTCATGAAGTACAATTTTTCAAACATCTCAGGACACACTAAAGAATTTTATTGAGCAAATTCTGATTTGCCTAACAGAGACAGAAATATGGTCTCATTCCGGCCCAGACTACAGATCTACTACTGGAAGTTTCTAGGGTCAACTCTCCTGACTTCAGTATAACCAATTAAAAGGACTAGCCATAAAAAGCACAGATACTACTGTCAGGCAATAAACTAGACCTTATCGGTGACAGTGGTGCACATTACAAACTTCAAACTCATTCCTTGCTCTAATCCATCAGAAACTTCCTGGCTTTAATAGGCTATAAATGGCAGGAGCTTTGAAGTCCCTGGGATTAGGATCAGTAATAGACAGACTGAATGAGAAACCAAATGCAGGTGGAACGTACTCTATGCGTCCCGAATTAAAAACAAATCCAATTAATCAAACAGTCTGCGATCCTAGCTGCCAGTCAACAGATTACACGGGTGGCCAAGGCGAGGGCCAGAGTGACTAAGGAGGACCCGGTGGCAGCGTGCAGTTGGAGCTCCCTTGAGGAGCTGAGTCCCGGCCTCCACGGCCTGCCCGCCTTCCCTGTGGAAGGGAGGCCATCCTCCTCAGTGGGTTTTGAAGGACAGCACAGCATCAGAGCTGAGATAAGGAAGGAGAAGACCGATGCCTCTTAAACTGAGTTTCCAGGTAAACAAATCAGCTGGGATGGCCGGGGGCTGAGATCTGTTTCCCAGGGCTGGTCGCCTTTGATCCTATCGCCCCTCAGCCCTCAAACACGTGTGGCTACAGAGCGTGCCAGGGCTTGGAGTTAAATAGGCCACCTTAGAAAGGAACGAGACAACGGGGAAGAGAGAAGCGGGGTCATGCTGCCTCACAGATGACACTGTTATTGGCAAAGGGAGAGATTCATTTCAAACTAACTGGCATCACTTGGCCATCCACAGTCCATTCAGCAGAGAGTTGGCCAACGCACGAGGCAGGGCTTCCTAAATGCATCTTCCTCACTCTTCCTACCTTCTGGAGGGTTTTTATTCTGATTGTTCCAGACGACCAGCAGCTTGGACAGACTGGGCACCTTGGATACCTCGGTGATGACGCGGAAGAGGCTCTCGACCCGGTCGTAGGTGAGGACAATGGCGGTGAACCCCTGCGACTGCGGTGGGATCAGCGGGAGGAAGAGCGGGTTGCTCACACTGCCCCACTTCTGCAAAAGGACAGGTCAGAAGGTTAGGGAAGGCGCTGCAGCAGGAGGCTGACCCCAGCCACCGGCAAACCCAGCCGTGCAGCTGACTGCTTTCACCACCACCATGGCAAGAGCCGCGTGGCCGTTCAGTGTCCCCCCCCCCCCCCCGACCCCCACAGCCTACGTGGAGTCCCCTGGATTAACCTGGGCTCCAGACCAGCGAAAAGGGAGCGGAGAAGAGACTGAGTTAGACATGACAGGTCACAACACACACCTGCCTCCTTCCGCCCCAAATCAGCAGCATGGCAGCTGATGCACACAGAGGGCTGGAGAAGGGGCCAAGGGCCGGAGGGGACCTGGGAAGGGGTGCCCTGGGAGGCTCAGGAGGTAAGCTCGCCAGGTCGCCCGGTGCCTCGTGAGTTGGAGGAGTGGCAGGGTGACGGCAGGACTGCTCAGAAATCTCTACCAGAAGCAGCTGGAGACCCAGAACCACAAGCCTGCCCTTACCAGAGTGTCACTCTTTGCCACAGCCCAGCTATGTTCCCTGAGGAGACTGACGCTCCAGACTTGGAACACAGGCACAGCTGAGGAACACACAGGTCACAGCCCACCCGCTGAGTGGGGAGCCTGCAGCCTTCCTCCCCTTCAGTTCCCAAGCCCTGAAGCCATGCAGCCAGCCTGGCACACCGTCTGCCGGCGACACCCTCCAGCCATGAGTGGGCCACACAGAGTACTCCTCTCAGCTTTTAGTGTCCCCCTCTTCATCATGAACAGATTCTAGCATCACAGATATCTCAAGAGCATCTTTGGTGGGAGTGACAGAAACCAAAGGAGCAAAGAAAAAAGGCACTCAGACCCCCGAGGCGCATAAGGAAATTAATATCAACCAACAGCAAGTTATATCTTTGGGGAGATAAATATTTTTTTTAATCTATGAGAAAGAATAAATTGCTATTTTTATTTAAAAGGATCTAGCAAAGACGGAAAGAACTCTTGGACATGAAAAACACGATAGTTTAAAGTTTCTTTAAGTGGGCAGGATTCTGAGATGAAGACAATTTACTGCATTCCAGAGACCAAGAAGACAGCTGAGGAATAGGAGAGAGCAGGGGAGAAAATCCAGGAGGTCCAGCATCCACTTAACAGGAGACTCCAGGAAAAGAACACACTGGGGAGGGAGGCAACAGCTCTACCAAAGAAACGGAGTCGCGTCAGTGCGCAAGACGGAAGAGGCGAGGAGGCTTCAGACAGCAGAGAGCACAGTGGGGCCAACAAAAGGGACAGAGGCAGACACAGCACCCAGAACTATCACCACCTCAGGGCACCTCAGGGCACGCACTGCTGCACAGGGGACTGAGGCGCTGCTCACAGTGCGTGGCTCTTGGTGGCGGGCATGAGTTCACTGAACAATTCTCAAACTTCTAAGTCTGAAATTTGTTCAAAATAAAATTTAAAAAGGAATGAAAGATCCAATCTCTCTCCTACCAATAAAACATTAAATTATCTAAACATAGCAATGTAAGCAAAAAAAAAAAAAAAAACAACAAAAAACAAAAAACCTTTGTTCTAATACTAAACAGGGAAAGCTTATTAAAATGTTCTTATACTTTTTGACAGCTTTATTGGGATATAGTTCATAAACTATATAATCCACCTATTTAAAGACTATAAGGGTTTTGGCCTTTTTTTTTTGAAACTGTTAATACACACAATTTGATCTTCCATTTTAAACATTTGTAAGTATATAATGCAATGGCACTGATTATGCTCATGATCAGGTTAGCATGTTTAAAGCTCAGGACCAACTCCCTCTCCACCAGGAGAGCAGAAAGGTGCTCCCCGGCATTCTTACACTTCCTTGAAGCCTTCTACACTCTGGATTCCCAAGGTCCCCTATCCATGCACCCATACCACGAACGGACACCCATCCCCAGTCTCTGACTACAGCTGCTTGCCAGACGGAGCAGCGCGGGGCAGGAGATGTACACAAGCACATGGGCAGCACATGGGAGGGACTGCAGGAGACGGGAGGGGATTCCTGGAGTCCTGATGTAATTAGCACATTAAGGCTGAAGTGCCCACAGGATGCCATAATTGGCTCTCACAACCAAGAGACCCAATAGAAAGGTTATCTCCCCAGTGCAACCTTGTTCCCATGATGTTACGCACTGGTAATGTCTCAGGAAGACCCTAGATTTTTGTATTTATGCCCTAGCATCTGACTACATTTCTAGGAACCCTTTTCAGTTTTCTACCTGAGTCTTATTCTTCATAGCTTCCCAACTTTTATGGAAACTGAATTCAGTAAGTAGCTCCACATTTAGGCTGCAATTAATTCCCAAAGGATGGTTCATGTCTACCTGCCATTACCATCCTCAACCCACCCCTGGCCTTCCAGATATGATACTCCCTGCTCTACACTTGATGGATACCATTTTAAACGGAAAAGAGACTAAAAGGATTTTTAAAGATGTGCATAAGATAATCTAATGTGTGATACTGAAACAGTCAAGATTTACTGAGCATTTACTAAGTGTGAGGCACTATGCTTGACACGTATTAGCTCAACTAAGACCCACAACAAGGCTCAAGACAGTTATGGTGGTAGCTTCCTTTTACAGGTGATGGAACTATAGGAGTAAGAATAGTGGAGAGTAGTCAAGGCTGTGTGACCTGGAAGTCATGGAACGAGGACAACAGCCCAAGCCACATGACTCCAAAACACCAGCTGGGTGGCCCTCCCTGCACTCCCCACCCGTACTCCTTTACCAACCCGCAGAATACAGAGATCGCGCTGCTACTGCACAGACTTCAGAAAGGGAAGTGTGGGGAACGCCAGCTCCACCTCTCCTAGCTCCTCTCTGGACAAAACTCCTGAAAATTCTGAATCCTGTTATCAAATGGACCAACAAGCAAGAACCCACCCAAATACTACTTCCGAGAGTACATAAACACTCCAAATACATGACACTCTGACAAAGCGAGCACATACATTTAGAAAGGTAAATACACCACTGACACAGAGGGAAAAACTATTACAGCTCCAACAAAATGCGGTCTGTTCTAGGGGAGAAGGGAGGAGAAACCAACACACCTAAATACCATCATGACACTTAGAGAAAAGAAAGTTCCCTGAGGGGGCGGAGTTTGGTTTCTGAAAAGGAATGCCCCAGAATAGAAACCGAGGAGTCCCTGGAAAGACATCCCAGTTCTGCCCAGTGCCTCCAGAAGACAATGGGTCTGGTCTCGTGGTGAACCTGCCGGCTCCATTTGGGAAGTAGGTTGTTAGGGAAGGGAGAGGACAGGAAGGGATGCTGGGCAGGGAAGTGGACAGTGGCTTTTCCTGGTGTCTAACTTTTCCACACCACCCACCTGCCCCCCAGGTAGGGCTTGAGAACTGGAGAAGGCAGCACGCCAGGGAGATAGCACAGGGGCACGATAGCACTGACATCTCGCCCACGATGTCCCAGGAACACAGAATGACATGGACGTGGGGGGGGGGGGCAGGCAGCAGAGGAGCCACGGTGCAGGTATTCGCTAAGAGCTGCCTGGTGCTCAGCTGGGGGACACATGGCCAGCACAAATGCAAACAGCTCCAAAGGGACCCTTTGTGTCTGGGGCAACGCGGGAATCAGTGGTCCCAGTCAGGTTCTTCCGCTCACCAGCCATGACCCAGCAAAGCGCATGGCTCTCCTGTGCCTCAGATTTTCTGCCTATAAAACTCTACCACCACCACCACCACCTCCTAGGCAAGACGACGCAGTACACATAACACACCCCACACATACAACAGCGGAAAAACAGCAGCCAGCGCTGATCACACGTGAGTAACCCTCTCTCCGGGCTTTGCTCTCTGCATGTCTCACCTAAGCCACCTGAGAGCCCTTCAGCACCAGAGTTCTAGAGGAAATCATTCCTCCTCGGTTGTTACTTCACATGCTTTAAAGGCCTGCTTTATCTAGATTCTACCTCTACTTATTCCTCTCAAATATAGTCTTTATTTCCAGCACTTTCTCTTTTTCTCTACTCTTTGTTTCAGCTATTATGAAAGCAAGAGCCATAACACACAGTACTGAGCACAGTACCTACCGCTACTCAAAAATTTGCTGAAAAAAAATTAGTGGGTCCCAGAGGGTCCAGGTTATGTTCTGTCTGCTCCTTAAGTATATATAGGATCAGGGGCCCACACTCAAATGAGGGATGCTTTGAAATGTTTCCCAACTTGGTTCATTTTATTGCATTTACCAAGAAGCTGAAGCATAGAATTTTTTAAAAAATTATTTATTTTTAGTTGTAGTTGGACACAATTACTTTATTTTATTTATTTTTATGCAGTGCTGAGGATCAAAATCAGGGCCTCATACATGCTAGGCGAGTGTTCTACTGCTGAGCCACAACCCCAGCCCCTAAAGTATGGAATTTTATAGGGATGTTTGATGAGGGCTTTCACCTGGGCCTTTCTTTCCATTTACTCTTTTTGTAAAGTTACTTCTGTGAGCAGCATCAGTACCTTAACTGTAAAACGGGACCACAGTACCCACATCCCTAAGTAACGATGACTAAATGAGACTATGCACCCAAACACCTAGCAAAGAGCTCAGCACAGAGGCCGTGAGTGCAGCTGAAACCAAACCCAACCCTCTCCCTTCTCAGCCCAACGTGGGCTCCTCGTGCCTGCCTGTCTGCTAGCACACGGGCATCAGCACTCCCCACGTTCATTCATTTAGTCGCCTCTTCCTGACTGTAGGGTTTAAGGGGGATGGCGTTAAAATGAAAAGATGAACTAATTTCTTCCTCTCAAAATACTCATATTCAGGTGGGGAAGACAGACAGGTGAAAAGGCAAATCACAGTGCAGAATTCTAAGCAGAACAGCAAGGTACGGGGCATCCCCAGATGGAAGCACAGAGGCCCGTACAACCTCCAGCTATCGCGGGAGACAGGCAGCCCTGAGCGTCTGCAGGAGCAGCAGGAGCAGACGGGCCCAAGATGCTGGCGCACTGAACAGGGTGCTCAAAGAGA